TATCGTATTGTGTTGGTGTTGGACAGGGACAGATACATGTCTTCAATTTGAAGTATTTGTGTTACATAGTAGATGATTATATTTTGTCGTGGTGATTTGCAGGGTTTTGTACAAATTTTGTGAAGTTGTATCCTGCAATGAAGCCTTATGAATACGGCTTCCGCGTATTTTTGTTAACCTTTTGTATTGTGCTGGTGTCTGGGAGACATGGAATGCAGTTTTTCACCACTGCTTTTTATAGATTGGTTCTTATTGGTGTTGGTGCTGGTGTGAGTTTGTCTGTGAATATTTGTATTTACCCCATTTGGTCTGGTGAGGATCTCCACAAATTGGTTGTAAAAAATTTCCACGGAGTTGCCGCATCTTTAGAAGGTTAGAACATGTTTCTTGTCTTCATTTTCACATATTAACGATTTGGATAGAAGTATGACACTAGATAGAACATTATGGCAGAAGTCTATTGATGTAGTCGATCTCATTTAGTGGAATAAGGATCGGTTGTTATTGTTGTTTAATATGTGCTAGTTTTCTTTTGTTTGTTCTATAGAAGCTGATTTGCTAGGCTTGTTATTGTGGTATATTTTGTTAGGTTGTGTAAATGGTTATCTACAATGTGTTGAATATGAGAGAGTTCCATCTAAAATTCTTGTATATCAAGCCTCTGATGACCCTCTTTATCAAGGTTATAGAACAGCAGTGCAATCTTCAAGCCAAGAAGAGACTTTGGTATTCTCATTTCCTCTTCATAAATTCTTTCTAGCAGTGTTTAGTATTTTACTCTCTTACTTATTTGACATTTTTATGCAGGTAGATTTTGCATTATGGGAGCCACCTCATGGTCCATACAAGATGTTCAATTATCCTTGGAGAAGCTATGTCAAAGTTAGTGGAGCATTGAGGCATTGTGCTTTCATGGTCATGGCTATGCACGGATGCATACTTTCAGAAATCCAGGTATTACAAGAGTTTCTCGTTCGTACCTCAAATCTGCGCCTACGGCTACGAGTTATTGTTCATTTTGAGTGTGGGAATCCTCACGGCTTTGTCCTTTGAAGAATGTTGAGTAATGTTATATAAATTATCTTAGTCTTGATTCTCGAGCAATGTGAAACTATTTTGACCAGTCAGGAACACATTTGTCTGTAGCTTGGAAAACACTCAACAACATAAATGATCTGCCACTTAATATTTATACATTGTAAATGTCATACACAGGCACCTCCAGAAAAGAGGTTGGTATTCTTTCAAGAACTTCAGAAGGTAGGCATTGAAGGAGCTAAAATATTGCGACAACTAGGAAGCAAAGTCGAAAAGATGGAAAAACTGAGCACAAGGGACATTCTGATAGAAGTTCATGAGGCTGCGGAGCTATTGCAGATGAAGATTGACAGTCATTCATTCCTCCTAATCAATTCAGAGAATTGGGAAGCTGTAAGACAACAACAGTCTAAAGAAAATGAACGATCTGGCAATTCGATTAACGAGAATAATACGCAGTCAATGACCAATAAGTCGGGGGACGATTCACAGCTACAACGTTCAATGTCAGAATTGAGTTTCGTGCAGAATGCAAACAAGAGCTTAGTGTCATTGTCTCACCTCTCTTTTTGCACTGATGCCATAGTGAATGAATCAGAATCTAAAGTATATGAAAGTGCTAGCTCATTGTCTTTGGGAACATTTGCTTCACTTTGATAGAGTTTGTTGCAAGACTTCAAAATCTTGTGATGAGTTTCAAGATCTTAGTGAGAAGGCTAATTTTAAAGATCCATTTGATCAACCTATTTTGAAGTGAAATAGTAAATGCATTATTTTCTTTTCTTTTTTGTAGATTTCTAGAGGTGTATTTTCATGCTGCTAAAGTTTTGTATGGTCAATTATTTTATTCACAAAAGTTGTGCGACGGATTAATCTAAGAGGATAAATCTCACTATTCACTTGTGGTCACTTGTGTTCATTTATTTGTTTTTATTACAGGAGAAATCATAAAGTTTAATTGCTATACTTTGCAATAACTAGACTCATGTATAACTTGTGTTTTTGGTTTGCACTTTACAAATACAATTTACAAGTACTTGGAAACATGAAATTGACCCAAAACAACATGAAAGTTCCTTTTTTGTTCACATGTTTTGGAACGTGTGGCAGAGAGAACAAAGTATAGATTTGCAACATGTTACCAACATTAGCCACAAGAAAACAACTGCTACTTATATGAACTTCTTGAAAACAAGAAAATCAAAGCATGAATTTGAGTAATCTTTCAAATTTTTGAACTTGTAAGTTGTAAAATTAGAAGGAATCGAGAAGTCAAAGGGAGAAGTCACTATGGCAGGTCCATCCTTGACCGTGATTCGAACGGGAAAGAGATCAAATGTTGCCATTATTTTATAAGCTTTTCGCGGTGAAGAGAGGTGGTTTATCGTGGAATTTCGCAAAAGTTAGATGTCAGATTCCCAAAGCATAATGGACCTCTAAGATTAGTACTCTAATACTCAAGTTGTGAATGAATGAGAAGTAGTTTGAGTGTGAGGATGAATAGAATACCTACATCTGACGCGTGCAGAGAGCTTTATATAGTATAGGTAGTAAGAACTATTTTTGTTTAATCTGGCACTTCGCGTGGATCACCCTCCGATTAGATCTAACGGTAGAAAGTTAACATGAGGTCAAAATTATGTCTTATGTTCTTGAGCAAGGTCGCACCCATTCCTAGCACCTTTACTTATGGTTCTTGATGTGTGGGTCTCGTGAACGGTTGATAAGTGCCAAAGATACGTAAATTACATAGATACTTATTCACTTAATTTGCAATCAATCAATGAAAAAAGCCTTTAATTCACTACAAAAAAACAAGAAAGTTGTGGGGTGAAAATCACCTCTCAACTCTTAAACACACCTCGCAATTCCAAATTTGAGAAACAGACAAACATTTTACAAAAATAATAGTCGCAGCTATGGGTTGGGTACTAGTCACCTCGCAACGTTGCTGCGTGAAAATCACTTTGTAACTTTACTATGTGTATTTCCTGTCGTAACACTCTAAATAGGTGACCAATACAGTGCGTCAGAGATGGTTGGGTGGGAATCAGACAAAATTTACTAGATTATTTTTACCTCACTATTTATGTTTTTGTCAGATGGAAAACACTTCGCAACTTTTAACATTTATGTTGCAAGAATTTTGTCCCCTATCATTATAATATTTCTTTAATAATTTATTTTGTTATATTTATATTATTACAAATATTTTTAATAATATAAATATAATAATAAATAATTTGTATTTGCTAATATTTTAAATTCAAAATTAAATAAAAATATTTAAATTTAAAATTAATTAAAAATATTTAAATCTAAAATTAATTAAAAATATTTCAATATTTTACAAATTAAATTTAAAAATAGTTAATAAAATTCAAAAATTAATATTCTTCATTTTTCTTATTTATCTTTCCTTGGCCACCACCTAATCCTTGATTTTCATCCATAGAATCATAATTTAGATATCTTTGTGAGAGCTTATATTCTTAAATTTGTTGTTGTGTAGTTCTCACTTGCTCTTGTGAAATTCGCAAGGCTCCTCCAACATAAATTGTCGATTTCTCATTGTTTTTATTTCAGCCTTTTGCGCAGCTTCATGTGTCGCTCTTTCACGCGTTGTCTCACTTAGAGCTAAGTGTATAATTGTTTCGGCCATTTCAGGGGATAATATCAGGGAACGTGACGAACCTTTCCGTCTGCAATTCTCGTAAACAAACGTGTATCCCCTTTTCTATAATTGGAGGCAAAATGTCTAGTACCATAAATTTTCTCATTTTTATTCTTTTCGCGATTTGTTGCCATCCAAATATGAACATCAACATATGGATCAATAGGATATTGACCCCTCAAAATAGTGAACTCGAGATATTGAGATATAAATTGTGTCTTCCGTCTATTGTACTCCTCCTACACATTTGTATAAAATTAAATTAAATAATAGAGTTTAAAAAATTTAATTAAATAAAATAATTAAATAAAATAATTAAATAAAATATTTAAATATTAATATCATCTTACCTGAGTTTTCTAGCACGCTCGTTGTTATACTCTCTGTCTCTCCCCCTATGGGCCTTCTCATGAAGCTCATTCATTAATGGGGTTCTACAATTAACTTCAATTAAAAATATATAATAAATAAGAATATAATTTTAAAAAGGTAGAAAGATGATAATTTAATTACCATCCGTTGAGCAAGTTCAGCGATATTAATGCTTCGAGCTCTATTTTTGGAGGCTTCATTTTCATATGTTTTACGTTACTTTGCTTTTTCATATTTTTTCTTATACTCGTCTCAATTCCATTAATCAAACATTTCTTTAAACACATCTTAACTCATCCATGGAGGGCGGATTCCTTTTTGTTGCAAATCAATTCTAGCACGCATAAGCATGTCAGAAAGTCTTACTGATGTTCTCTTTTTAAAATTATGTTCAATCCTCGCTTCATCTATTACACTCCATGTGCACTTCTCCTGCAATATTGAAAAAACTATTAGATAATTAAAAGAAGATAGTCATTAAAAAAATTACTAAAAATAAAAATATTATACCCGGAATTTGTCAAACCAAAATTTATACAATTTATCATCCTTCCTGACAAGTTATCCAAAAGTCTTCCAAGATTATTTATATGACCCCTGAATAACCTCTTTTATGTTAACTATAGTAGGTCCACTTGGAAAAAAAACTAAACAAAAATAATTTGAATAAATATTAAATTTAAAAAATGATAACATGTAACAAATATTTAAAATATAAGAAAGAAACTTATGAGTTTCCTTAAGGCTTAATAACTCATCTTCCATCAATCTTCTCATACTTAATATCCATTGCAGCTACATTCATATCCTCAATGTCCTCCTCCTCCTTCTCATGATCGTGCAATGTATGATTATCTGGTTCTTAATGGAATGATGAGGGTACATGTGGGGTGTTGGATCCCCTAAGGCTGATGGGATGACGAGGGTGCATGTGGGGGGTGAGGGATGTAGGAACCCTCGAGATGATGGGATACAGAGGGTGCATATGGAGGAAATAGAAAGCTAGATCCCCCAGATTGCATGCATGACGAGGGTACATGTTGGGGTAATAAAGAGCTAGGTCCCTCGGGCTGCATGTATGATGGGGGTACATGTGATAAAAATGGAAAGTTAGATTCCTTAGGCTGGATGTATGATGGGGGTACTTGTGAGGAAATTGGAAACCTATAGACATCAAGTTGCATATATGGTGGGGATACATATGTATGCTGGGATAATATGGGTACAAAACCTGGTGGATAATCTTGTGAGCTGAGTAGTGAAGTGTAATATGTATGAGATGGAGAAACGCTCATAGTCGGTTGTGTCTTCTGATTAGACTAAGGCATATTCGGTCGAGTCCCCTGACTAGACTTAAGCAAATAACAACACGTGAAAGACAAAGGCACCTCAAGTATAGTTACCCATGGGCGGCGGTCCTTACTCCTACCTTTATCAGGTCAGATGGCATATTGTCTAATTAAAAGAAAAGAATATAAAACAACCAATAAATTAACACAATATGTATTATAAGTAAAAATATTATTAAATTTGAGCTTATTAAAGGCATGATAGATACATAATATTTTTAAAAAATGATTTATTCAACACTCGCATCTTCATTGTCTTTATCTGGTTCAACACTCTTGATCGTGGGATTTGTACTTATGTATCCAATGATTCGGAATGCAAGTGCACAGTCTTGTCGAGTAGTTTTAAAAGATATCGAACCACAGAGACTGATGAATCGATCTATCGTTTTCTATTGTCTATGTAAATCTAAAGCTAATGAATATTTGATTTGGGTTGTAGGGAAACTAATCACTAAATTAAGTTGTAATTTAATAATCAATGAGCTAAATTACCAGTATGCATTAGTCTTACCTCGGGAACTAGCGACCTGTCGGGCGTCTTTATATTTTCAAAACAGTTTTCAGTAAAACCTATCTAGTTTAAAAACCCTCGTCTCACACTGTCGTTTTGTTGATCTAGGCTATGCAGTTAAGTCCTAACGTACGCTCCCGCCATCCCGCAGGAGTTAAAAACACTTTTTGGAAACTAAACAAAATCTTAATTAACTTTAAAGTGCTTCCGCTGTATTTTAAGCCAATGCCTAATTACTACTGTCCAGTTAAAAGATCTCAAACTTCCGCTTTGTTAACCCTAACCTCTATCTGTTTTTTACTTCCGTAACAAAACAATTTAATGATTTGAAAAATAGTAACTTAGGCCAAAAAAGAAATTTTCGTAGTAAAAATAGTCCCGACTAAGTTACTCGTTCCCTCGGTTGATTGACTTTACATACCGGTATAAGATTTCTAGCCTGACATAATATTAAACCAAATCGCAGAATAATATAAAGGACAAACACAAATAAACATAATTATATTAATTAATAAGCAATAAGAATTTGTAAACATAAACCTGGTAATAACTCTGAAGATAGAAGCACTCCTGCACAAATTGTAGGCTTTGCTTCGATCGGAGAATATATTTAACCGTACAGAAGAAAATAATGCTGGAAAGAAATAACTCGGAAAAGAAAAAATGCTGAAAAGAAATAATGCTGAAAATAAATAATGCTGAAAATAATATTTGCTTAATGAAATCTCTAAACTTTCTCGCCAAAAAGAAGAACCCTTTCTACTGTGGTCTCTTGCTCTATTTATAGTGCTTGCTTGATTCCTTGCTTTCGAAAATGTAGGAACAGTTGAATTCTTCCTTTGAGAAAT